TCCCATACCGGAGGGGCCTGTGGAGGTCGACGCAGAGGTGGGCTGGTTCGGTGAGGCTCTGTCGCACATTTGCGACGCGGCGATGCCCCGAGCCGGCCCTCGACCTCCTAGGCGTCAGGTGTACTGGTGGTCGGAGGAGATAGCGGCGTTGAGGGAGGAGTGCTCCGCCGCCCGCCGCCGGTACACCAGGCACCGCCGACTCAGGCGGGGCCGCGACGCCGACGAGGAAGCACAGCTGTACGAGCAGTACAAAGAGAGGAAGAAAGCTCTGCAGCTGTCCATCAGCAGGGCCAAGGAGACAGCCAGGGAAGAACTCCTGGAGACCCTGGACAGGGACCCATGGGGGCGTCCTTATAGGTTCGTCAGGGGCAAGTTACGCCCCTGGGCGCCCCCCGTGGCAGAGGGTCTCCAGCCGCAGCAGCTGGAGGGGGTGTTGGAGGAGCTGTTCCCGAGACAGCCTCCCTTCACACCTCCTCCGATGATGCCGCGTGGCAGTGATGGAGAGGCCAGCGGCGTCAGCGCTGCTGCGGTTCCTATCATCACCGAGGAGGAGTTCGCCGCGGCCGTGGATAAACTCCGGGGCAAGAATGTCGCCCCGGGTCCGGATGGTATCCACGGCCGCGTCCTGGCCTTGGCCCTAAACACCCTAGGGGACCGACTCCGGCGCTTGTTCAATGCGTGTCTGGAGTCGGGACGGTTTCCCAATCAGTGGAAAGCGGGTAGAGTGGTCCTGCTCCGCAAAGCGGAGCACCCTGCAGGTTCGGTGGTTCCCTCGGCGTTCCGCCCCATAGTGCTGTTGGACGAGATCGGCAAGCTCTTCGAGAGAATCTTGGCGGGCCGACTCGTCCAACACCTGTCCCAGGTAGGTCCCGATCTCAGCCCGAAGCAGTTCGGGTTCCGAGAGGGGCGCTCGACGATCGACGCGATCTCGCGTGTGCGCTCCCTCTCGGAAGAGGCGACGTCCCAGGGTGGGGTGTTGTTGGCGGTCTCGTTGGACATAAAGAACGCCTTCAACACCCTGCCCTTTGCGACTATTAGGGAGGCGCTGAAATACCATCGCGCGCCTCCCTACATTCGGGACGTGATCGGGGCCTACCTCGAGGACAGGTCTGTGCTATGCACGGGGCGGAACGGCGTTGTAGTGTCGAGGGAAATGCAACGCGGTGTTCCACAGGGGTCGGTTCTGGGCCCGATCCTGTGGAACATCGGGTATGATTGGAACCTGCGGGGCGCCCTTTTAACGGGCACTGACCTTGTGTGTTACGCGGATGATACCTTGGTCACTGCCCGGGGGCGGGACCTACTGGAGGCTACCCGCTTTGCCACGGCATGCGTGGCGCTGGTCGTCGGTCGTATAAGAAGGCTTGGGCTCCAGGTGGCGCTGGAGAAGACCGAGGTCCTGTGTTTTCATGGGCCTCGGCGTGCGCCACCTCCGGATGCCCAGCTGGTCGTCAGTGGCCAGAGGGTGGGGGTCAAGCCCTGTATTCGATACTTGGGGCTTGACCTGGACAGTCGTTGGAGCTTCCGCGCTCACTTCCGGAACCTGGTCCCTCGCCTTATGGCGGCCGCCGGCGCTCTTAGCTGGCTGCTGCCAAATGTGAGGGGCCCGGGAGAAGGTTCCCGCCGCCTATACCTCGGCGTGGTGCGGTCCATGGCCCTGTACGGGCCCCCATCTGGGTGGGGGCCCTAGGTAGGGAAAATGTGGCCTGCCTTAACAGGCCACACAGGGTCATGGCCATACGGGCCATAAGAGGCTACCGCACCATATCCGGGGAGGCGGCGTGTCTGCTGGCGGGGTCTCCTCCGTGGGACTTGGTAGCGGAGCTCCACTCGTCAGTGTATCACTGGCGCGCGGAGCGACGTTCCGTGGGGAGGCACCCGCTGGCCATGGGATTGAAGCGCGGAGGTCCGACTTTCGGCGGATCCTCAGGATCAGGTGGAGAGAAAGGCTGGCCAGTCCATCGGCCGGCCTGAGGACCGTCGAGGCTGTCCGTCCCATCCTCAAACGGTGGATGAATAGGAGATGGCCACTGACGTACCGCATGACACAGATATTGTCCGGGCACGGTTGCTTCGGGCGGTATCTGTGTCATGTGGCGAGGAAGGAGCCGACGACCGGCTGCCACGAATGCGGAGGTGTTGAGGACACGGCGCAACACACGCTGGAAGAATGCCCAGCGTTCGTGAGTGAGCGCCGTGTCCTCACACGAATAGTCGGCGGAAAGGGAGCGGGAGTCAGCTCGTCCCGCTTCCCTCCGCCGCAGAAGAGCCAGGCCTAGAGGTGGGAGCGTATCCAACTCCGCCCCCCTCTATCCCCCACTGGGGCCGGGGTGACTGCCTTGAGGGAGGCAGTCCCCCAATCCAAAGGCCCCGGAGGTGTGCGCGTGTACCCACACGCCTCCACAATGGAGTAGGGCGAAATAGGTCGCCCTAACCACAAAACGAGATGGGGCCTGCCCTACAACATCTACAGGGCGGGCCGTCGCCGTCGGAGCTGGGGTAGAATGCACTTGCGAATCCCCTGGCTCCGGCATAGGCGCTCGTAGGTACACCGTGTGGTTTTTTAGTGGGTACAAGTCCCACACACCACCTCGCCATCCCTCCGGCGGGGTGACGGTCTTTTGAAGATTTTTCCACACGATAAAAAAAAAAAAAAAAAAAGGTGTTGCGCTAATGACACATATTTTCGAATCTTGGGAGAAGTCACAGGATGCACTCGGAGTTTTTTGTGACCTATCAAAGGCATTGGATTGTGTGGATCATAAAACGCTTTTGTACAAGCTCGAACATTATGGTATAAGAGATAACGATCTAAAATTAATGAGAACTTATTTAGAGGATAGGGTCCAAACTGTAGATATTGACGGTGTAAAATCTAAGGGAGCTAATATTAAGATGGGCGTTCCACAAGGGTCAATCTTAGGCCCCTTTCTCTTTTTAATCTACATAAATGACCTTCCCTTGGTAGAGAAAATTGCAGATATAGTGCTGTTTGCGGATGATACTTCGTTAGTGTTTAAAATTGGACTATATTGAATTGGAATATAATGATTTATGTATTAGTTTTTCTAAAAGTTTCATCAGCACAGACAATATGGATATGGGGTGTTTGGGAAACTACTCTGCTACCAAAATGTTAGGGAAGCATCAGTCACGTACCTGTATGGTTCTGCGGATTTCTTGGGCTTCAGGGTCTCGAAGGTATCTTCGCTAGCTTTCCAGTTTCACAGTAGGTTAACACAGTTCTAATTTATTTTAATTCACAACACAATGCGCGCGCGCGTCAAGGCCGCTGTACATTCAGTTCAGTACTAGTTAGGGAGGGGAAGGGAACGCGCGGGAACAGAAAACTAACGGACTCTAATATAATATAATATCTATGCTTACGATGATACAGGGTAGATTTTGAACATAGCCCCCGCTCTAAACATAGGATGTTTACGGAATAAATGATCAAAATTAAGGGAAAAATTACAAGGTAAGGGAGCTATACAATACATTACTCAATAGGGAGGCGTATCAGTTTTGTAAGAGAACGTTTTAAGGAACCAGTAGAGGTTTTGACCTCGACCACTCGAATTACACCGTCTTGACCAGGAAATAACTGTACTATACGTCCGCGGCGCCACTCCAAAGGAGAGAGGTTGTCATCCTTTATCAAAACCAATTCATCAACATTAGGAGGATTCATAGGAGAAGTCCACTTATTACGAGTTTGAAGGGTTGATAGGTACTCTGAATACCACCGCGGCCAAAAATGTTGAGTAATTTGTTGCAATAAGTGAAAGCGTGAAATGCGATGTACTCGGGTAACGCAGTAAGGGGTTGACCAATGAGAAAGTGACCAGGGGTTAACACTTCAAGATCATTGGGATCTTGAGATAAGGAACACAAAGGCCGAGAGTTAAGTACAGACTCAATTTTGCAAATACAGTGGTCAATTCCTCAAAGGTAAGGGGATTTTCACCGATTACTGGTTTAAGGTGACAGTTCAGTTTCAGACAATCCTCCCCAGTAAGGACAGGCCGGTGGGTCAAATACCCAATTTATATTCTTGCGGGATAGTTGTGAAGCAAGATCATCATGCTTTTGGGACAGGAATGAATCAAGCTCTCTAATATAGTTACTCGCTCCTAAATAATTTCATCTACAATCCGAACGTATGAGGGTAGGTAATCTGCGACGCGCAACAAATCGGGTAAAGGTAGATAGGAAAGATTCAGTCGTAAGGTCGGATACTACTTCCAAATGTACCGCTTTATTTGACAGGCAAACAAATACACACAGATAACTCTTTACTATTTTCTTATTTCGATAGGATTATACTTTAGTATAGAAAGGGTCCGCAAAGTCAGTGCCAACACGAGAAAATGGTCTAGCCGAAGTAACCCGGTCCCTGGGTAGATCACCCATAGGGGGTTGAGATACGGATGCTTTAAGGCGGTAACAAGAGAGACAATGAAATACATATTATGTTTTGAATAGCACGTCGGACCGATAATATCCAGTATTCACGGGAAAGGATAGCATGTAAGGCATTAGGACCAGCATGAGAATTTTCGATATGATAATGTGAAATTATTAATTTAACAAGGGGGTCAGACTTAGGTAAAAGTAATGGGTGACGAGCATCATATGGGAGTTCAGAATTACGTATACGTCCGCCAACTCTGACTAAATCGTTTTCATCTAGGAAACACGACAGCCGTTTTAAAGGGGATTTAATAACATTACCGCATTTTAAGAATTCTATCTCGTTAGAAAATGCATGTAACTGGGTTGCTTTAATAAGTATCAACAAAGAATTACGTCTTTCGTCAACAGAAAGGTAAGGATTAATAACACGTAAAATAACATTTTTAACATTATAAATAAAACGCAGAATAAAGCCTAACACTCCGACTAGTTTATTTAAGGAACTATACCGGTCGAGGAGAAACGAAAGATCCATAGCTAGCGTAGGTATTTCAATTAACAAACAGCGAAGGCCAGGTAAAGAATCAATAGGATTGTTTGTTGTCTGCACCAATAGGCCAATGATTAGGGGATTCTGTCAACCAGGAAGGAGACCACCATAGATCATGGTTAAGAAGAGACGATGCGCTAAGACCTCGGGAAGCACAATCGCTAGGGTTAATAGAACCAGGAACATGATGCCACTCGGAAGGGAAATCGGATGAGGTGATTTGAGACACGCGGTTTGCTTCGAATGTTTGAAGCAGGTGAGGAGGAGTCTTTATCCATGCCAGCACAATTTTGCTATCTGTCCAACTGTAGATAGCATCCAACACGATTACCTTCTGTAGACAGATGGTAACGTGATGAATTAATTTTGTGAGGAGCACAGCTCCTTTCAATTCCAGCATGGGAATTGTGAGACGAGTACGGATAGGGGCAATCTTACTCTTAGAAATGAGGAGATGGACGGAGCAATGGCCAGAATAGGATTCAGTCCTAAGGTATACAACAGCTGCATAACCAGCCTCCGAAGCATCAAAAAAGCCGTGTAAGGAAATGGAAGTGGCATCCGCAGGCAATATCCGACGAGGAATGCTCAGCTGTTTGATATTCTCCAGGTCTTGTACAAATAATAACCACTCATCAGAAAGGGATTGGTTAAGAGGACCATCCCAGTTGAGGCCCGACATCCATAGACGTTGTATAAACGCTTTGGCTTTAAATACAACTGGAGATATCCATCCACATGGATCATAAATACGAGCGATGAGGGAGAGAACTGTACGCTTGGTTAGGGACTTCTGAGGCTTAAAGGAAAAACTGTATGTAAAGGAATCTGCAGTCGGATTATACTGAATACCAAGTACAGGAATGGTTGGTGGGTTATCTGGGTCATGAAATTCATATGGACCCTGTAGATGTTCGAGGGGAATGTCTTTGAGCAATTCGGGTTCATTACTGATCCATTTTCTCAACTCATAACCACCACAGGCCATTAGGGACTGAAGTTCTGTTTTTAATATTTGAGCTTCACCGAGTGAACTCGCTCCGGTTAGGCAGTCATCAACATAACTATCATTTTCCAGAACAGCAGCTGCTCGTGGGTATGATGAGCGCTCACGTTCAGCAAGCTCTAAAAGGGTACGAATGGAAATGTAGGGACTAGACCGTAGGCCGTAAGTATTTGTAGCTAACTCGTACGTAACAAGAAGTGCAGATGGGGATTCACGCCACAAGATTAACTGATACCGACGATCATTGGGGTGCACCCAGGTCATTCGGAACATCATTTTTATGTCTGTCACAAAGACCACAGCATGTCTACGGAAATTAAGAAGGATATGAGTGATATCTCGTTGGAGCTTTGGACCTGTGTGTAAACACTGGTTTAATGAAATACCATTAGAGGTTGGACTACTTCCATTAAAAACAACACGAATTTTAGAGTGGTCGTCGGCCTTAAACACTCCATGATGGAGAATATAATAATGCTCAAGTAATGATGGATTATAGGAAATGGGAGACATATGGTGAAGATCTATGTACTCACGCATAAATATAATATATTTTTCACGAAGCTCTGAGTTGGCATTGAAACGTCTTTCTAAATTTAGGAAACACTTAACCGCTGTAGACTTGGATTCACTAAGCTGGGGACGATTAGAGATAAACGGAAGTCGGACCATAAAACGACCGTCACTCTCACGGGTGATGCCATTCTTAAAAATACGTTCGCGCTCTAACTCCTTAGGATTGGGATTGAGAACTTGAGGCAGTTCCTCAATTTTCCAAAATTTCTCTACGATAGAGAAATGCCCGTCATAGGGGGTTCAAGGTCGGGGAAATTACCAGCAACAAGTCCAGACAATACACAACCAAAAACGGTTGAAAGGCCGGTCAGACCATGAGGAAGAGAAATCGATTTTTCAGGTTGCATAAGATAACCGAACACGTCGGCACCTAACAATACCTCAATAGGCCCTGGTTTATAAAAGGAGGGGTCCGCTATGGAAAGGTGATTAATACTATTAACGACAGGTCTAGGCAACTCAATCTCAGGATGGGGGCCTGCAATTACATCAACAACCACTGCAGGGGTTGTTATCACAGGATACGATCTATGAACTGGTTTAAAGGTAAAGGAGATAGAACCGCGGGAATATACAGATTGAATGTTGCCAATACCGCGAATAGGTACTGAGTTTGATGATAAGGGGACATTCAATTTCTCAACAGCTAAGTCGGTAGTAAGCAGACAACCTTGTGCGCCTGTATCACATAACGCACGGGCCTCTATAAAATAACCATAAGCCGATTTGACATGAATAATGGCGGTAGGTAGGAGGACTAGGGAATTGGAGGGAATAGACATATGTGGTGAGAAAGCAGGGGGGATACAGGGCCTAGTTATTGGGACGAGTTCCGTCTATGGTTGGTATGCATAGAACGGTCGGGGAGGTCACCTGATTTATGATATGTTTTATCTCGGGAAGTGACCGCGGGGGAAGGGGACGTATGACGATAATCTTGTCGTGAGTATGTAGGAGGAGAAGCTCGACGTGCAGGTGATGACGAATCACAACAGGGAGTACGGCTTTTATAAGGGGGACGGCCCCCGCCCGTGCGGGGAGGTGATGTACGCGGTGCACTATGCACAACAGCATTGCGATAATTTATATTATTACGATTCTGATGGTTAGGACAAACAGGATCTCGAGAATTGTTAAAACACAGTAAGGTGTGATGGGAGGACCGAACACAGACAGCACACCTGTAATCGCGTGTGCAATTGGCTATCAAATGTTTATCTAAACATCGATAGCACATGCCAGACGATTTAATAAAATAAGATCGGTCACGTGGGTTCATATCACGAAATTGGGGACATTCACGTAAATAATGGGAATCACTATTACACATACGGCACTTCTTATTGGAAACTGGTACCTGGGAAACGTAGGCCCTACGCGGGCGGTTAGATTGCTGGTTATGCGAGTATTCAGGTCTTCGTTCAAATGTACGGGAAGTTGGGGCAGAATCTACTAATGCTGCATCACCTACATCATCATGGTGGCAGCACTCATCCTCTAAAAAGGTGATGATCTGATCAAACTGGGGCAGTCAATCACTATCACCACCGTAACGCCGCTCAAAACGAGCCTTTAACTCCAGGGGCAACTTATTAAGGCATATGTGCACTAGCATATATGACCAACTAGTCACAGGTAGCTCTAAGCGTTCTAAACAACGATAAGCTGTTAACAATGGGTTGAGAAACGAAGCACGTAATCCATTCAATTTAGGGGGTATATTAGGTAAGGTAAGGATCTGTGTTATATATGTATCCGCCAGTATTCGCGTATTATGATATCTCCGCTTTAACAAATCACGAGCGATAGGGTAATTCTCTGCTTCAATACGTAAATGTAATAGTAGACGTTTAGGCTCACCCGATATTGCACCAACAAGGTACTGTAACTTATTAGTAGGGCTAAGGTCAGGCTGGGAATCGAAAATACTATCGAATTGGTCGACGAAGCTCAAATAGGATCCACTTTGGCCATTAAAGGTAGGAATAGGTAAGTCGGGTAGTTTATTTTTAATACACATTAGAGGGGAAGATATTAATGGAAGCCGCTTAGGAGTACTCGACTCTGTAGGAGGATCATGGAACAATTCAGGCTGCAACTCACTAAACCTAAGCCGCAACTCATCTACCATAGGCCGCATTGACTTAGATAAGGTTAGGGTGTCACCCGCCGGGGGGGACGAGGAGTGTTTATCCCTACCTCGGGACCTGGACTTCTGGTCCATGACGGACTCCATTACGGAGGCGGACGCCGCCACGCTGCGGTCGGCGAGATCGCGGCCCGTCTCGCGGGCCAGGTCGCGGGCCTCTCGGCCCTCATCAGCGTCGTCGACGCGCTCAACGCGCTCGACGCGCTCGATGCTGGTGGAGGACGGGATGTCCGGCTGCCTGGTGTCGAGCGAGGACGGGCTCGCAAAGACGGCTGTGGCAAAGCGGCCACACGCTGACGGATCGGGGCTTACAGGGGCGGTGGGCGGGGGTGCCCAGCCGTCAAAGATCCCCTGCTCATCGGGTCGCAGGACATTGACCATCTGCGTACCGGTGAGCCCTGGTGCAAAAGGGCAGGCTCCGTCACCGGAGTCCCGGCGGGAGAAGACCCCTGATGACGAAGTAATGTTCGTCCGACCCTCGGAGGTCCCCGGGGGAAAGGGGAAGGTGCCCCCTGAAGGTGATCTGCGGCCTGTGGCCGTCTTCAGGGCGGAGGCCCAAAAAAAGCTGGTAGCCGCCCTGGAGACGGTCCGCCGATGCGGGAACCTTAAGGGGACCGACCAAAGGCTGCTGAGGGAGAATATCGGCGCTGTGATGCGGTTGGCGGAGGGCTTGGATGTGAACGCCCCCGCCAACAACGACTTCACTGCGATGGCTGTGGAGCGCCGGGATATGGAGAAGCGCATTGAGGGGCTCCATAAGGAGAATAAGGAGCTCCGACGCCAGATCCAGGCGCTCCAAGCGCAGATGCAGCAGTTCGCGGCGAAGTCGCACACGTCGCAGACTCCCTCGGCTACTGCCCAGGTACCGCGGGGGCCTTCGAGGGTGGTGGTCTCTGGCCCGGCCCCTGAGCCGGATGAGGTCGGGGCCTTCAGGGCGGAAATAATGAGGGCGACTGGGGATCTCATAGATGCCCGGATAGGGGATCGAATAGACAGGGGCATCCATGAGATTAAGGCTGCCCTGGGTCTCTGCTCTCCGGCTGAATCCATCCGCCCTAATTATCGCCCGCCGCTGCAAAGCGACGGGCAGTACGAGGTGTTGACCCGGCTCCCCGGCGCAGGGGGACCGGGCTTCAGAGACGCTCCTCACCTACGGGGGGCGCGAGGCGCAGGTTTCCCGCCGCTTCCAGCGGCTCAACCGACCAGCCGGCCGACCTCCGGTAGTCAACAGCCGGGGCCGTCGGGAGCGGGGCGCGCTAACGATGGCTGGAGCACGGTGGTGAGACGGGGCGGTAAAAACCGCAACGTCCCTGAGAGGCAGACCCAGAGTACTCAAGGTACTCAGAGGAGCTCTGGGGCCCCCTCTCAGGGTAAGAAGGGCAAACCGGCCCCGCCCTCACCATCAAAACTGCGCGCACCGCGCTCGGCGGCCGTAGTTGTCTCCCTCTGTCCGGAGGCGGAAGCGGCGGGAATGACCTACTCAAAGGTCCTCAAGGAGGCGAAGGACAAGATTGACCTCGCCTCCTTGGGCATAAACAGCCTGCGTTTTAAGACCGCGGCCACTGGGGCCCGGATCCTGGAGATCCCAGGGTCTCAGACGGGTGATCAGGCCGACGCGCTCGCGTCGAAGTTCCGGGACGTCTTCCCGGAAGGTACAGTCCGAATCGCCAGGCCCACCAAGACGGCCGAAATGAGGGTCATGGGCCTGGATGACGGTACCGACCGGGAGGAGGTGGCGGCCGCCGTGGCACAGCACGGCGAGTGCACGGCGGACGCCGTCAACGTCGGGGAGATTCGGCGCGGCGCGTCGGGCCTGGGCACCTGCTGGGTGCGGGCCCCATTGGCCGCGGTCAAGAAGGTCACGACGGCAGGGCGGATCCGGATCGGCTGGGTCTCAGCCGCTGTGGAGCTGCTGCGGCAGAAGCCACTCCGGTGTTACAAGTGCCTCGAGAGCGGGCACGTGGTGGCGAGGTGCTCGCACGAGGAGGACCGGAGTGGCCTTTGCTACCGGTGTGGGGCTCCCGGCCACAAAGCGGCCGGATGTTCGGCGGCCCCACACTGCGTGGTTTGCGCAGCGGCGGGTCGCCCAGCCGATCACCGGGTGGGGGCCAAAAAGTGCCCCCAATCCCGGTCCAAGAGAGCGAGGGGATCCGCACTGTCGTCGGCCCGCGGCAATGGCCGCCGGGGAGAGGCTGAGGTGATGGACACCGGTTAATAATGGCAGTCCATCGCCTCCTGCAGGGGAATCTGAACCACTGCGCGCGCGCCCAGGATCTGCTTCTGCAGAGCGCGGTGCAGTGGGGAGTTGACCTTGCAGTGGTCGCCGAACCATATCGCGTCCCACGAAGCGACCATTGGTTCGGCGACCCCTCTGGCCTGGTGGCCATTGTCGGCGCGGGCAACCCCGCGACCCCGCTCGTCAGCCGCCTATTCGGCGGAGCGGGGTACATAGGAGTGAGTTGGGGGGAAACCGTCGTTGTCGGGACATATTTCTCTCCGAACAGGACTCTCGCCGAGTTCGAGCAGTTCATGGACGGGCTGGGGGCCGCTC